ATAACATGCTGACACTTCCAGTTGTAGTTTAGGTGAAAATTTCATTTGAGCATATGTTCATGGGAGCTTATTCATTAAACATAATTTAATGTATTGCAGTTAAACACAGACATTGCCTCCAAGTTGCATATTATGTTTGCCTTTTAACTTTTAGAAATTTAAACATAGGAATTTTTTTGTCTCTTCTTAATCTCTAACCAAGAGGACTTGGTTAAATTATCTAAGGGGACAAATGGGGCACACAGATTTATTGGTCTTCACCTGTCTTACCTGTCTAGGTGGAGCATCACACTTAGATAAATGCAGCAACTTTTTTTTTTAACTAAAAGTTTCTTTTAAAAAAACCAAACAAACCCATGCAATAATGTTCAATGTAAATCATCAATTTTCCTCTAGCCTGAATTACTTGACTTTTAGGTACAACTTCTTCTTTCATCATAATGTCTGAGTATCACTCTGTTATTAAGTAATTTACCTGAATTATTTCTTGTGAGTTTTATGCCCGTCTTGCAGATGGGGAATTTGATTATAAAATGAATTGGTTGACCCAGCATAACAAGAAGTGTGTGATGATGTCAAGTGCGGATTTAATTGCAAGATGATTTTATTTTTTTCATTTAAAAAGTTTAAGTAGCCTCTTGAGAAATGTTTTACAACAGTAACACTGCAAATAAATCAAAAGCAAAACAATTCCTTTATTCAATCTCATGGTTTAGTGATAATTTGTGATAATTTCTTCGGCTTTGAATCACTCTGAAGATCTTCATCAGAATATGTAAATGTTTTAGAAAAATATGCCTCTATCTGGATATTAAGACATGGAGGGGAGGAATATGAGGCTGCTAGAGTCATGAAGGGACTAAGTGGCACAAGTAGGCACCTAATTGCATCTTCAGGTTTTCGTATCCTCCTTGTAGCTCTCTTTGAGGACCTTATAAATTCAAGTCCCTAAGCACGTAGTTTCATTTTTGAGAGTATCCAGCAGCATCTTGATCTCAACAGTACAAAACTGGTGCCTAATTGTCACCTAAGCCCTACTGAGAGTAATAAACCAGTCTCTTCTCTGCTTGTATTACCTGTGGGACTTGATCCAGAATGCGTTCTGAGATACATCTAGAGGGATCATGTTCCACACAAGACAGGAGATGGTTTGAGGATGCATTCGTACTCAACTGGAAGATTTGAATTAAAATTTCATACTGGCCAGGTGCACTAAGTTTCAGAGTGTACTGGAGTGTGTTGGTGTGATCGCTGTAGAGGAGACTAGTTCTTTCTGAATGGAATTAAAATATCGCTTGGTGAATGCTTCGTACTTTCATGAATTTATTCTCCGTGGCTAAGGTGAATTATTCCATGGAAAGTGCAGTGCAATCAATGAGCATGATTCGGGGATAATTGACAGTCTAGTACCTACAGATGCTTAGTCATGACTTGGTATGTTGCTGGGCCCAGAATCTTTGGAAAGAAAAGATTAGATTCCCTTATTTATTTTAAGAAGACTGGTCCAACAAACCACCAGGACTGTGAACCCGAACTGCCTTTTTGCAGCTCACAGCTAGGTAACTAAATCTTGAAGATGTGTGCTATTAGGGCATATCTTTTCATGTCTTTTCTTGTATAGGTGTAGTAAATTGGGTTTTGAAGTTCTTATCTCGTTCTCAGAGGACTGATAGACAGTCCTTTGTCTAATCTTTCCAGAACTAGCTTTAGAAATTATTTCTCTCTAAAAGGGGACATGCTGGATGCCTTTCCAGCATAGGATTGTTTTTTCTTTTCCAGTTTGGGAGTGATTCTCTCTTGTATACTCTGCTAAAGATGGAAAGCATCCTGTTTATGAGGCAGATAGTTTTGGAATTATGTTTGCCGTTAACATCTACATGTTGTCTGTAACCAATTTTGCCATTTCTTGCTCTATAACCTTGTTAAAAATCTTCCACTTTTTATCCCAGTAGTTTCAACGCTTTGCTGTTGTTTTCCTGGTTTTATAGATACTTCACATTTTTTCATTGAAGCTACAATTGACAAAATCATTCATCTTAGTTCTTTATTACTTCAGGTCTCGCTATTAACAACTGTTCCCTTGGCCTCCTGTTGCATTCCATATCAATTCTTCCTTTTCTTTCACTGTTCCACATAGACATACCCTCAGCAAATATCTCCAGTCTCTTTGTACATTCACAGGCCTGTCTACTCAGTCCTTCTGAGGATGATAGCCTGTGCCCTATTCCCTTGTTCGGTTACCATTTCTGTGACTTTTCT